TTGCAGGCCTAAAGGTTGTAAACTTTATATAACAAATCTATAATCATCTACATCATACCAATAGGAATGCTAACTCTATTTTATCTTTTACATAAAAATAGCTAAAAAAAATAAAGAAACTATAGTCAAAGAAACCAGCTGATTTGTTTTCTTAGAACATTATGTTAATATAAAGGACACTTTTTAAATAAAAGAAGAATGTGTCTGAGGACACGAATGCCCCCGCTCATACTTAGCAAAGAAAATGGGACGGATAGAAGGAATATCAAGGATAACACTTATTGCCCCTGTCACCTACAGCGTGGGCCAAAAAATAGATATTTATGAATGCAACCCCAAGTCGTTTTTTTTTTTTTTCCTTTCAATTTAAATGAAGTGACCAGTAAATAACATATTCACATGATTCAAACAACCATAGTTAGTGATCAATATAATATATATAATATTTGCAAAACTGGGTTGATACGAGGGTAGAGACACCGTGACTAATAACGTTGAGACACCACTAATAACATTGAGACACCACTAATAACGTTAGAAGCCTATTTGAAAAAATCTGAATTTAAGTATCAAAGTACTTATTGAAAGCACCTGAAAGGGTGTAATTACAGAACAACAAATATCCATAAAACACAACTGTCTTTACATCTTAGTACCTAGTACAAATATTGAAGACATCAAAGATTCTAGAATTTGGAGAATTCAGTTTTCAAAAAAGCATACAAAATGACATTCATAAATAAACACAACAAAGATTTATGCTTGTAAGAGTATGTATGACATGTAAGAACAACCTAGATTCCTTAAATTGTCTATATATTTGTCCTGTATTCTAAATGCCTTTCTTTCAGACAGTGCAATACAAATTTATTAACTAAAATATACCACAAATATGCTTATAGCCTCAAATATGTCAAGCAGTACAACTTGTAAATCTTATTAATTCCACTTCAAAGTAACAGTATTATACAAAACCTTTCAACCAGAGAAATAGTCAACAGACAGTGGCCATTTTGACTTCTAAGCTTTGAAGTATATGTCAGTCAATAGTAATGACAAAAACAATCAGTGAACAAAAGCCAAGTACAGCCTGGTAAATGAATATTGCAGAAACTATGGTGATGAATTGTATAATACAAACGAATTCTTCTGTCATCACTTACTAGAGTACAGTAAAAGCTCTTACATTATTATAACTGTACTCATCACTTACTAGAGTACAGTAAAAGTTCTTACATTTATTATAACTGTACTCATCACTTACTAGAGTACAGTAAAAGTTCTTACATTTATTATAACTGTACTCATCACTTACTAGAGTACAGTAAAAGTTCTTACATTTATTATAACTGTACTCATCACTTACTGGAGTACAGTAAAAGTTCTTACATTTATTGTACTCATCACTTACTGGAGTACAGTAAAAGTTCTTACATTTATTATAACTGTACTCATCACTTACTAGAGTACAGTAAAAGTTCTTACATTTATTATAACTGTACTCATCACTTACTAGAGTACAGTAAAAGCTCTTACATTTATTGTAACTGTACTCATCACTTACTAGAGTACAGTAAAAGTTCTTACATTTATTATAGCTGTACTCATCACTTACTAGAGTACAGTAAAAGTTCTTACATTTATTATAACTGTACTCATCACTTACTAGAGTACAGTAAAAGTTCTTACATTTATTATAACTGTACTCATCACTTACTAGAGTACAGTAAAAGTTCTTACATTTATTATAACTGTACTCATCACTTACTAGAGTACAGTAAAAGTTCTTACATTTATTATAACTGTACAACACCTCAGCTGCTGTTGATAAAATAAGAAGTGGTACGATTGCCAATGAAACAACTATCCACCAAAGTCCAAATTACGTGTATTTAAGCAATTATAGATCACCAGCAGATGATACTACCTGCAACAATGAGCAAAACCCATACTGTAAAGTCAGCTATAAAAGACCTCAGCATGACAAAATGTGAAACAATGTTATATTTATTTTCTCCCATGAAAATTCAACAGGTACTTATAGCAACCAGTTCCTATTAGATAGATGCAAAAGGCTAAAGAAAGTGTGGAGTTTTTATTTCATGTATACACAACCAATATCAATTGAATGATTTAGAAATGAAAACTATAGACTTCACAAATCTGTCAAAAGGTAGCTGCATGTATTTGTTGGTTGCATTGTTTCTGGAATTTAAATCATTGGATTTTAAAGCAAGACATTTGATTGGCTGATCTTTTATCAAACTGAAACATATGGAACATGAGATGGAGAAGGTAGCTTATCTTTTGTGTTTGTTGACAAACCTATGACTCATCCATTTATCTTACAAGATTATCATATCAAATTACAATATATTTTGCAACTAAAGATGAACAGGGGTTTTAAATAAAAAAAAAAATATACTAAGATGCTCAATTTGAATCAATCAGAAACAAGAATGTGTCCATAGTACACGGATGCCCCACTCTCACCATCATTCTTTATGTTCAGTTGACCGTGAAATTGTGTCAAAACTCTAATTTGGCATTAAAATTAGAAAGATCATATCATAGGGAACATGTGTACTAAGTTTCAAGTTGATTGGACTTCAACTTCATCAGAAACTACCTTGACCAAAAACTTTAACCTGAAGCGGGACAGACGGACGAAAAAACGGACGGACGCACAGACAGAAAAACATAATGCCCCTAGGTGGGGCATAAAAAGAAAATAATCATCATATATGAATCTTTTTAAAAGGTTTATTATCAGAAAATTCAACTTTCAAACTTTTGGTGTTTGTCACTTTCTTTCCACTTGAACTGAAAACTGTGCATATCAGACGATGCTTACTATACATGAATATCCCTACAGGGCTTGATTCTAGTAATCATACCCTGATTATACAAATCTATATCTGTTAGATTACAATATCAGCAGCTTCAATACATATAACTTTTTGCAAATGACAACACATCTAATTAATCATGATATACTTTCTATCAGCCTAATCCCTGAGGTGGTTGGCAGTTTTCAAGCTTGGTTTCAGGTAGACAAAGGTTAATGTTTGCATGAAACAGTCTATTGATCGTGTTACTCAGTGGAACTTTTGACATCATTTGCTCTGTTGAAATATGATTCTTCGTTGTGATTTTTTTACAATCAACTGCTAAAGCTAAAAGGATACTCCTGGGATAAAATTTCCATATTGATTTTTGGAAATAATGGTCAAGATTAAAGTATTCTGACAGGATTTAGATTACCTGGTTCATTCTGGGTTCATTCCAGGTTCAAACATCATCTTAAGGCCAATATAATGTGTACTCCTACATTTTTATCAGGTATTCTCAATCCAGTCACATATAGACAGGAAGAATTTTTATTATACAAACAGTTTTATAAAATATAACTTAAAATGTAATGTCAATATTAAATGGTACACCAAAGCAAAGCATCCCCTTACAATACGACATAACTTGAACAAACTATCAGGTGACCTTAACCTTTGGCTATGACCTTGACATTTAAATTATGTGCAAATTTTATTTATTTGCAAACATTGGATGATGTTTAACAAGATGAGTTTAAACACTGCAGTGCCTACACATCTTTAATCTCCTTTCTGGTGTTGTGACCTTGAACTCTTATTTCTGACCTTTGAATAAAATCTGGTTCAAGTACTTTCTATTAACACGCAATGGACAAATTTTTTTATAAAATTGGATACAGAAAAAGACCTCAATGGTATCTGCAAAGGATGTTAACAGATTGATTGTTGTTCCTTTACGTTCAGCTGCAAATATTTCATGTTACGTAACAGATAGATAGAGTAACACATGGACACAGAGCAGTCTTACAATGTAAAACTCAAGGTGCTAGTAGTATGGCAACATTCTGCCATCTTGCATAGAAAATGACTTAAATGATCAGTCTCAATTATGTTACTTAAGTTAACAAATTTTGTTGCAAAAATGTAAAAATGTTTGAGAAACTTTTCATTTGAATGTAGAAATATATATGACATCATCTTATGGTTACCATTTTTTTTTAATAAAATATGAAAATAGCACACCATAAATTGTATTTGGCAAAATATGAAAAAAAAGTTCTATTAATTGTTATATTCCCATAAATCTTTTAATAAGGGTATTTCTTGCACAATAGTTCCTCAGAAAAACTAACTAGTATCAATTAAAGGCAACTCAATTTAGCCAGCTGATTTTATTTGGAACTTCAGATAATTGATTTGATACAAGATTAACAACAGACAAACACAATTTATTTTCAAAATGTTATTCTTAGCATGATTTTTCATTTTTCTTTTCTCAGCCTTATTAAACTTTAGAAAGCACTTCAAAAGTGTCCTTTCATAATGGAACCATTGCTATGGTAACAGGCTATTGTTTCTATCCTTGAGGTGCCTTGGTCACCTTTTGAGGTTTTTTTTCTTGGAATATCCTGTTTTTATCTAGTAACAATTATTTATATTTATTTGTCTGCATTAACCAGTTAGACAGTTCAATTTATGATATTTCTAGTACTAGAAGTTATACTTAAATTCAATATGCTCTTGAAGATATAAATATCTTTTCAACTCTCAATTTCTTATATAACATAAACCTATATATAAACAGCTATAGATCAGTATATGATGGTAGAACAAGACAATTTTTTTATTAGAGCTTATTGCTTCAGTAGAAGATTTTTTTTTTTTATTTTCATTTAATCAAAATTGAAGTTATTAAAAAAAATATTTTTATCAACAATGGAGTTGGTAAATGTCTGTCTTTTTTAAACATGATTGCCTGTTAGTATCATTTTAATTTTCTTATGTCTTACAACCAATTCATTATACTTAACTACACAGTCTTTAACTCATAAAAAAATGTTTTCTTGTTATGCTTAGATATATTTCACTGAATACCATCTTAGGAGGAGAAAAAACTCAAAATTTAAGATACTTGGACTTAAATTGATTTCATTGAAAAATGTTACTCACCAGAATCAATGTAAAATGGTAAAATCTATTCCTCTTCTATCTCTACAATAAACAATCAATTTTCTTATTAAATCCAGTAGTGTCTTAGAATGTTATCCTCCAACAATTTGACCTAATCCTTTCGGTTTACTGACGACTTTCCCTGGATTGATACTGTGTAGAAATGATGGAATCAACTTTGCCGTTTGATGCTCGGGGAATTACGAAGCCGTCATTTGAATTAGGGAAGAATTGGATGTCAATCTAAGCTGGAACCTTATCGGAACGAGAAAAGCTTTTCCGTATCGATCAATACAACATTACATTCATTTTACAAGCGACGCAGATCTCAATAAACTCCAGATACAATTGTTCTATAAAAACCACTGGCTAATCAACGTTGCCTTTAGTTTGCTTCTCTTTATTAACTTCTGTACATAACTCAGGGCTAAAAATTTGTAAGACAAAGAAACAACATGGCAATACAATTGTTCCTTCAAAAGAAATCCAGATTTATTGACTAAATAGATCCAAGCATTATTAAAGTCAATAGAGAACCCGAGACAAGAGAATTCTTTCCATTTAGTTGTTAAATGATCATAATGACCATTATAACAAGGTGTGATTGCACAGAAATAATTCAATAAAATGGATTTTTCTTTTTTTTGTTCTTTTTAAAGAAGACTTTATATGGGAAATGTCCAACCTGTATGAAAATCTTTAGCTCATGTAAACTGTTTATCAATAATTCAGATTCCATCAATCAATTTTTAATTAATTTTTTATTGAATTTTTTTCTTCATAAATCTTGTTTTGCATGGTTTTCCTACTCTGTGTTGATGGAATATTTCTCATAAAATGAGAAAATAAGTCAAATGGAAAGTTGTATAGGTTGTGATTTAAACAATAAAGATGCATATATTTGAAATTAAATAGACAGAATTTGGCTTATAATGCAGATTTAAATACATGCATTTTCAAAATTTTGCTGTTAGTATTGGTGAGTGCATTCCAACTTCAAACAGTTTGGTTTATATATAATTCTCTAACAAAACATATGAACTTCTTGATAAGATTTATGACAAAACATTGATTTCAGCCCCTGGTGCATTATTCTTGATACACATGAAGAATGTTAACATGAAATATCATCCACGGAAGAAACCCATTGATTCTTTAGAATTCTATTGTTATCAATAATTACACAAATACAATACCCAACATCAAATAAAAAAAAAATATGAATAAAATTATGTTCGATTGATTAATCCTAATAAGTATCAGCGGATCAATATCACTAGAAATCTTACAAGAAAATTCAAAATTTATGTATAAGTTAAGACCAATTTTAGTTGAAAGATTTTTTGTGAAAAGAAATCCAGGCCTGTAAGCAGAAATGATTTTAGTTTTTTTGGTTTACAGGATTTGTGTTGAGAAATATAGGATAGTTCAATATATACAAAAATGTATCCTCTTTTCCCCACATGCATTGAAAAAGATTTTGTATCCTGTGCACTTCTGCCAAAAACAGGGATAAAATAATTTTTTCTTCACTGTCATACTTGGTCCAGAAAGGAGAATGAAAGATTTGAGGCACAATAAATGGTACTAAAAATCAAATATAAATCAAAATGTTCCCAATGGGAAGAATAAATGTAGAATATGTGTACTCCAATTAAAAGTTATTTTGTGTTTGAAACGAATGATAGGCTATACAGCCTTGAAGTGACAGTCAATATGTTAAAAGGGTGAATTACTGGCATGTCTAGTTGACAAGTGGCAATTACCATTTATAGTCACTGGGTTATAACAGTCCCAGATTGAATCTCAAGGCATAAAATTGAGAATGGAAATGGAATCAAATGTACACTACCAATAAGACAATTCTGAGAGGACCATGAATATGAAATCAAAGTCAGTTGTCCCCAGTTAGAAGTACATATGTGAATGTATGGGGACAAAAAGCTAACACAGTTGCGACTGTCACTGGATTTGCATTCATATCGAGGATGCCTCACATTCTGTGACATTCCTTGCTGGCAAAACAAATAACATATAAATTAACCATCTGTTCTATATTCTGAAATTTAAAACATTTCATTTTGCAACATCTGTCAATGCCACAAAATTAGCATATGTCTTTTCGTTGTGATGTTGCTGTCCTTTTGACATATACCCTACCTCTCCTTCTTTTCATATACATGTTGGTTTTAGACAAATATCATTGCAGTGGAGACAAATAATTATTCAACAAATATTACATAAATGTATCATTCCTTCAATTTTGAAAAAGAAATCCAGTTGATATCATGAACTAAAATGCAAAGTGCTTTAATCGTAGCATAGTTGTTCGAACAGTTAACAGGAAATCATTTAATTATATAAGAAGAAAAATCAAAGCATTTAAAATCAAGTAAACTAAAACACTACAGACTTTGTCCTCAATAGTACATCAAAGTCAGCCATAAGGAAACCAATGTAACGTTTAATGAATCTAAGATCAAATGTTTAATTTTCTACATCAATAAACCAAAAAATTCAATATATCATTTCGCTTTCTCTGAAAGTGCAATCATTGAGTTCAAAGAGCTGCAACGGAAATATATAACAGTCAAAACTACCATTTTTCCAATTATTACCTTAGAACCACGGCTTACTTTACAATCATTGCTGCATAATTTAAACAGCAATTACCGGGGGAACACAGACCAAACCCTAAACCAGAAGAGCATATGTAACTTAGGTTGACCAGAAGGCAAACAATTGGGTTATTATAGGGAAATTTCAGATGCCTAGATTTAAAATTATGAACTAGAACTGTCCAGTAAACATTGTTAATACCCCCTCGTGTGCCCCTTAAATTTAGAAAGAAGTTGAATGACAAGATTGGCATGACTTGAATTAAAAGTCACATTTCTGGATATATCATATAGCACTTAAATTCTGGACTATTATTATACCTAAGAGTAAAAAAAAACTATTGACTAAAAAAAGATCATGTGGAGTGAATTAATTTGGATAATTTCGTCAAATTTCGACAGGGACGGTGAATAACCTTGACAAATTGTACAGTCCGTTGAATAACCTTAGTATTCACTGCCCAATATTTGTTTGGTATAATAAAACAGTTACAGCCCTATGAGTCAGGAGATATCCAAAATTGTCAACCCTGCAAAGGGTTATTATTACCTTTGGGCTGAAGCCCTCTGGAAAATAACACTTAGCAGGGTTGAAAATTTTAGATACCCCCCCTCCTCAGAGGGCTATAATTGTATATTAATTGTACATCATAATCGATTATTCTGCAAAATTTGAAGCCAGTCAGCCAATATACAAGGAGTTGAAAAAAAGACAGACAGCAAATTTAAGCAGGAATGCCTAATCTTTGTTTGGTGAGATAACTTTAAAGATACTTTATATAATACTTGGGTGATGGGGTTCAGAACAGTTTTCATAATACATGTATCAATACATTTTGAATCTTTATAAATTTGTATGGGTGCTAGGTCTTGACAAAAAGTATCTTCCTCAATTCATTTTTTCCTTGATTAGCTCAAATCTTAAAAGTTTTTCAACAAAATTGATTCCTACACTGCTAACTACAACAGACAATAATTGTTACTGTTTTTATAATCAACTGTAAAGTGATCTATCTTTGGGATCTGCATCAGATATTATTAACTATGCAGAGCTGTTTTTCTCTGGATTATTAACTCATTTTAAAAGCATGAGTCTGTTATAGCTTTATCTCTAACAATGAAAATAGTAGTGATTTATGAGCGTACTATTAACCCATACAAATGTACCAAAAACAACACGTTTTCACTGATTACATGAAAGCATATACTGACGAAACAGATGTCTAACAATTTTGAAGACTTGTCTAAAGAAGAAAAAAAAAATGGGTAAATTTGACAAACAAGCTTTCAGATATTTTATCAATAGCTCAGTGGATTATAAGAATACTTAATTTGGGAGGAGTGAAGTGACACTTTCAAAAATCATGCTCTGGACAGGGTATGCAAAAATATTTTTTTAAATAAACTTCGTAGTTAAGACGGGTTCTTTTATTTTTTAATAATTTTGCACATTTATAATATACATAAAACTGAGTTTTAGTTTTTTTATACAATGGTTGTAAAACTTGTATCATTTTCAAGAGCCATAATTAGGTAATCAAATTTGGATTATTAGTAGTAAATGTGTGTACAACTATAAATTTTAAATCTATATACCACAGTATACCAAAACACAAAACACTTTTTGTTTTAAACAAATTATAAAACGATACTTGAGGCAGTCCCAATATTCAGTCTTGAAATGATTGCAACTATTACTTTTTTAGAATGTATGATTTTGATTTGTATATAATATCTATTTACTACATGCACTCTGTAACTGTTTTCTATGTTCTAATGGTACATGTACACTGAACTATCATGACTGTATGATTGTGAACTGACAATGTGTTAATATGTTGTATGTTTGCTTTTTTTCTCTTATTATTAATTTTTTACTTGTATTGTATATGAGGGCCTCAGGGAAGATAAGTAATTGTAACTAACTGTGTTTACCCTCTTTAAATAAAGAATTTATTATTATTATTATTATCATATACCAGGGTATTATAAATCTATATACCCCAGTATACCAGGGTATTATAGATCTATATACCACAGTATACCAGGGTACTATAAATCTATATACCACAGTATACCAGGGTATTATAAATCTATATACTACAGTATACCAGGGTATTATAAATCTATATACCACAGTATACCAGGGAACTATATATCTATTTACCACAGTATACCAGGGTACTATAGATATATTTACCACAGTATACCAGGGTACTATAGATATATATGTAACACTCCCAAACGTGTCCTTCCCCCCAAACGTGTCCGATTCCCCCAAACGTGTCTATTCCCCCCAAACGTGTCCTTCAAATCATAAATCGCCCAAACGTGTCCGATTTCACATCCCCAAACGTGTCCGATAATTGTTATTCGCGAAAACGTGTCCAGATAAAAACGCCACAACGTCTCAAAACTCTTAGCGCCAATATAACTCCGTGAAGTCAAAAACGTTTACGGCAATTATATACGATAAAAGACGTCGAGTTCGGTTGAATTCTTAAAAAATCAAAGTAGCTACCCAAAGAAATCTGGAGGAAAGTTTAGTAATCCGTATCGATAAATGTCCAAGACTATCTACACTGTGCACAGTCATTTCTGCTTTCATATAAATAGACATCAGGTTAAAAAAGAATCCCACAATAAAAAGTTATTTTTTACTTGCAGCGGAATTAATAATTTTTTATATAAAGTTCAGATAATTTTAATTTCACAATTAAAAATTTAATACATTTCATCTTGTAAAT